TGCTTTTTAATCCAGTCCTACAGTCCCTGCTTTTTATTCCGGGGTGTTTAGACCATTTATCACAGTCTACATGGAAGTACTATTAGACCACTTCACATGTCGTTTAAGGAACTTACACTAGTGTACTTAACAATTTCTGCCTCCTGGGTGTTGTCATGCCTGACTTTCACATACGTTGTAAGTCCCTCCATACACCATTACTATTTTTGTTTTAGACAATTGTCTTTTAGAACTATAAAATGTAAGCTACAAAATGTCTTTTGTATTATCTTCCTTTTTGCCATTTCTGGAGCTTTTTATTTCTTTAGGTAAATACAAATTTCTGTCCGGTATCACCTTCATTCCTTCTGGATGAGGAACTTCCTCCAATATTTGTTGTAGCACAGGTAAGTCAACAGTGAATCCGCTCAGCTTCTGTGAGGCAGGCTTTAGCTCACTTTTATATTTGAAAGCTATTTTTATTTTTTTTTCAATATATGAAGTTTATTGTCAAATTGGTTTCCATACAACACCCAGTGCTCATCCCAAAAGGTGCCCTCCTCAATACCCATCACCGACCCTCTCCTCCCTCCCATCCCCCATCAACCCTCAGTTTGTTTTCCGTTTTTAAGAGTCTCTTATCTTTGGCTCTCTTCCACTCTAACCTCTTTTTTTTTTCCTTCCCCTCCCCCATGGGTTTCTGTTAAGTTTCTCAGGATCCACATAAGAGTGAAACCATATGTTATCTGTCTTTCTCTGTATGGCTAATTTCACTTAGCATAACACTCTACAGTTCCATCCATGATGCTACAAAGGGCCATATTTCATTCTTGAAAGCTATTTTTATGGCTTAGAGAATTCTGGGCTGACACTTTTGTTCTTTCAGTAATATAAAGATGTCAGTCAATTGTCTTCTGGATTGCAAGCTCTGACAAGGAATCATCTGTAATTACAAACTTATTCCTCTAATATAATGTGCCTTTTATACCACAGTTATTTTTAAGTCTTCCTCTTTATCTTTGTTTTTTTGCAGTTTGAGTATGAAGTGCCTAGATTTTTATTTGTTTGTTTCTGTATTTATCCTGCTCAAGCTTCTCTGGGACTCTTGGATCTGTGTCTTGGTGTCTTCCCTTGTTTTTACAAACGTCTGAACCATTAGCTCTTCAAATGTTTCTTCTGTTCATTCTATTTTTT